AAACTCATATAGTTCCAATAACATTCTAGTCCTTAGGTCTTTTAACTAGTTTCCAAATATCATTTCTCCCATTATGATTTAATTATTTTTGTATGGCTAGGATCCAGAATTCATTAGATAGGGCTTGATTTATATTGGTGAGTTCAGTCAATAAGAAGAAGACAGTAGCTTACTTCTTTTCTATGTTCATACCTAGTTTTAACACCTTCAAATGGTCTCTTAAGATTAGTTCTTTAGGATAACTTGAAGAATATCTCTATTCTCTAGCCATTGAATTTTCAGGTTCTACCCTTTCCTCCATATTTGCAAATTCTACACCTTATGTGATTTCTACAACTTCTTTTTCTTCTATCATAGACCCTCCAAAATTATTAAATTTATCAAATACAATATGAGTGGTCTCCTCTGCCACCAGTGTCCTTTTATTAAAAACTCTATAAGCTTTTTTAACATTTGAGTACCTTAGGAACACTCCATAAAATTTAGGGTCAAACTTTTCTAGTAGAGATTTCCCATTATTCAAAATGAACACTTTAAATCCAAAGATATGAAGGTGAGAGAGGATGGGTGTCCTTCCCTTAAGGATTTTATAGGGTGTCTTGTTTAGTTTGGATCTAATATTAATCCTATTCAGAACATAACAGACTGTATTTACTACTTGACGTTGGTGGACCAAAACCTAACACCAGAGTGCTGCCGGACCACTACTTGACGTTGGAGTGACACTGGACTTTTGCTAAACTTTCAGTTTATATTTGTAATCTGGTCATCTTAAAGGACAAGTCAGACTATTATACTTTGCTCAAATTCTAGTGGAATCATTTTCAATTGGGCTAGGCCCCATGGTTTTTTCCCTTTCCCGGGTTTTCCACGTAAAAAATACCGTGTTCTCTATGTGTGAGCTAGATATCCGTGCAACGCTAAGACGTATAATTATAACTCTATCACCGTGTATATTCTTGCGCGTAATAATAATAATTTTTTATTTTTTAAAATTATATTAATTAAGCTAATTATATTAATTTTAATTTTTTAATTAAATTACTTATTATTAATTAATTATATTATATTCTTGATTTATTTTAACTAACTTAATTAATTCAAATGACGAACGATAAACGAATCGAGCTGAGCCAGTATGTGAGTGTTCATGTTTGGGTTCATTTATTAGCAGCTTATTCAAGTTTAGTTTGTGTTTGATTTGAGCTTTATTTTTTGTATTAATGTTTGGTTCATGTTCGATTCGTTTAGTGCTTATCGAGCTTTAAACAAATAAGCATTAACGAGCTATGCTCGTGAACATATTTATTGAATTTTCTTAAATTATTAAACAAGCATGTTAGTAAACATATCGAACAAGCTCTTGAGCTATCAAATGAGCAAGTTCATGACTATAATGTTCTTAGTACCATCACCAAGTTTTGCGAGTGTAAATTCCTTCCACACCAATGAGATTTTTTTAATCTTGCTTTCCTAGAAAAAAATATTTTCTTATTGGTCATGTTCTGCTACAACTGTTGGACTTGAAGATGGCATAGCACTAACTTGGACATCATACACTGTCAACTGTAGTTGAGGAGGCATATAATTTTGATGTTGTTGTGGTGAATTTTACTACATACATTTACAAGAGGGTCAACAATTATATTAAACTTGAATCCTATTTGAACTACATTAAAATAAATGCTACACTCCAAAATAATTAAAATGTTAACCTGTTTGAGAATGTAAAGAAAAGTACCACAACTAGGAGGACCAATATGCACTTCTAAAGTGACAAAAAATTGTTATAAATGAAACTTTAATGTATCAAATCATAACTGTATAGACTCTATTGGATTGCTTTACTCATGTTATTAAAATAATTATGAGATGATCTATAGGAGAGGAGAATCCTTCTAAGAGAAAGAAGCAAATGTATGTGAGAAAGAAGACAAAAGAACTGACCGAAGTAATATTTGAAGAAGCTATAACTTATTGAGTTACTGTTGATGCTAGCCTTGCAAACATGAACTAGAGCGAATTTGAACGGTGTCGGGAGAATGATCAGAGAAGAAACGAGAGGGTTCAAGACTTGAAGGTGTCTGGGAGAACGAAGAGGAAAGAAACCCAATTTAGTCGTTCGGGAGTTAGGGCTTGAGCGACCGTTCGGGAGAAAGAGTAGGGAAGAAAGTTCGACGTCTGAGGAGAAAGATTAGGCAAAACACAAAAAAAAAAACAATTTTGACATTTACCCTGTTTCGCCTGTCTTTTATCCTTTCGTACTTAGAAGCACCATTTTAATTTTTCTGGAATAATAAAATAAACAAAATTATAATAAAAATATATAATATCAATTTAATAAATATGTAAAGTTTATTTTAGTTAACATATATTATAATATTTAATCACTTTAAAATTTATTAATTAACAATAATTATATCATTATGTGATCATAAATATAAAATACTTGTATTATGTATATTTATCAATTTTATAATTAAATATTAATCGAGTTTTTATCAAGCTTAATGTCGAGCTTGTTCACGAGCTTCAAATGATGTTGTTCGTGAACATAAATGAGTCGAATACATTATTGTTCAAACTTGTTTATTTAAGGACCAAGTATTTAAAATATCGTTCAAGTTTATTTGTTTAGTTAATTATACGATCACAAATGAGGTTTAATTGAATCGAGTAACAAGTCTCTTGTCGAATGCTTAGTTCACTTGCAACCCTAGCGAACGCTTGCTGAATTGAAGAATTTCTCTATTGTCTTCTTATTAGCCGTAGGCCTAGGGTTTGCTTTCCTCCTCCAACAATACGACTTCACCTGTGTAGGTAAGAGTTTTGAACGAGTTGCTAGAAACACCTTTTCGCCTCCTTCGACAACGTTACTTGCTCTCCGTTCTTCTATTGGATCGGAACTAACGACGACAACAGAGGGAGCTCCTGCAAGTAACCATTTTCTCCCTTTTGCGTGCTTCTTTAGCGAAATCCCATAAACCCGCCGAACTCTCCAATTTAGGGCTGTTTGACAATGGGATTTATGTATGATTTGAGCAAAATAGGATTTATAGCACCGTTGGAAGTTAAGAGGAAGAAATCTTCCATCTCATCATTTTTGCGGTAAATCCTGTATTTACTAAATCCTACGGTTCAGCGGATTTAGATTTTAACGTGCGGGAGGGGGGAGAACCAACAACGAAACTTGGCTTCCAACGTCAAGTTATAAATAATCGCCTTAAATCAGATTGCATTACCGAACAGCTCCAAAGGATTTAACAAAATCTAACCCTTATATTGTCAAACATTTTTCAAAATTTAACTTGAGCAAAATTTACTAAATTCTGATTTATAAGATTTAATAAATCCTATTCAAATTAAATCCTACTCGTTGCCAAAATATTTGCTGGAAAAAACAAAGGTGAAAATGGGGATTTATTCCGCCGGGAGATTAAGGGGCTGTTTGGTTGTCTGAATTAAGAGTGTAAAGTAAAATAAATACAAGTATTTATTAAATTGGGTTGTTTGGTTAATTTTGAGCGGAATAAAAGAAAACCATCCGATGCATTAGAGGTGTATTACAGAAGCTGTTTTGCGGGAATTAGAAACCCGCTCAATATGAGCGGGTTCTAAATTTGCTCGACGAAAATGCCTCGGCGTTGTTGCTGTTCGACTTCATTGCTTCGCAGGAGGTGTAAGATTGCACGAGAGGCTTCTTCGGCTCCTCCTTCCTTCTTGTTCGACTTCACTCCTTCGACGATGTTCCCTTTTGCCTGTCGGATCAGCACCGCCGACATTCTGAGTTCCGATACCCGTTGTCTCGCCGAACCTCACCCGCCTCCCTTCTCCTGGTGAACACACCTGCGACTCCACCGGAGTCGTAGCCGTTTTCTGTCAGAGGTGACTTGTAGCAGGGCATGATGGTGCGGTACAAGCAGGTTAAGATCCAATAGATCTAGGGAATGGCGATTAGGGCCATTCCGATGATGGGAAACCAGCCACCGTCACCACGGCACGTCTTTATCTTGCTTGGCTTATCAGGTTGTATTTCTTAAGTCACTAGTATAACTGTATTGCTTACTTCTCCATGATGTTCATCTTCTTACTCGACGTGCCTTGATTTGCGAAGGAACGAGGAGAGGGCTCCGTCGCCGGTAGATGAGATCGAGATGGGGGAGGGATGAGAGACCTGAAATATTCAAATGATATGATGCCATGGGTGGGGAGGGATTAAAGGACAGAGAATAGCAGAGAAACGTCAGGGAGTTCACAACAGCATTTTGTTTCGATCTGTTTCTACCTTGCTATTAAGAGAAATGGTTTTTTTATAAATAATATAATTTTTTTTTTATTTTTTTTATTTTTTTGTGAAGGAACCTTTTTTACTAATTAAGATTGCTAATCTTAATTCAACCTTTCATCTCATTTATATTCTTTGTTACACCTTGGGTCCATAAAGTGGTAGTGAGATGTAATAAAAATATTGACATTAATTATTCAAATAAGTTTTAAAGGATAGGATCACGGAGCTCATTTTGATCTATTGGTTAAGAGTTTTGAATATATGATAATAGTACAACAATGAAGCAAAAATAATTACTGTGTAGTTAGTTTACTAAAAATAGGGCTATGTTAATAATAAAATATGATTTTCATGAATAAAAATTTTAATATCCAATAAAAGTTATAGACATAAAGTATATATCACTTCTATAACATCAAATAATATTAATTATTATAAATACACTGTTTTTATAAATACATTTGTTTTAATGCCAAAATAAATTATTTAAAAAAAATGCTTTTACTTTACTTTGGATATACCTAACCAAATAAGAGAATTAATTCTTATTTTGCAGAGAACCAAACAAGCTCAAAATATTCGGAATATATTACATTTACTTTATATTGTATTTACTTTACAGTGCATTTTTTTTTTCAGGCAACCAAACAGCCCCTAAGCGTAAATGAGTAAATCCTGTTGTCAAACAGCCCCTATACCTTTCCATAATACCCAAAAAAACCCACCGTGCTGCATCTTCGGTGTCTCCGGAAACTGCGGGATCGGTTCGAAGGACCTGACCGGCTTCTGCTTATCTCTCTCTCTCGCGGGAAGCGAGTGAGTATTCCCTGCTGCAATCGAAGGCGAAGAGTACAAAAAGCTCGAGGTAACCTGTCCATCGGCTTCTCAGGCTTATCACCGCTGCGTCTTCTTCCCGTGAATAATCGTTGGCAAATGTTAGCGTGATCGAGCCTTGTCCCTGGCTCTCCTCCGGATTTTCTTTACCGAGATTGAAGCTGCGTCGCAATGGCCGACGAAGAGTCTACTCTTCCTTCCCATCGCCGAGACGGAATCAAGTCCTCAGGTGAGGTTTTTGCTCTTCACTCCTCCCGTTCTCTTAATGAGAAATTGCTTTCAATTTAGCACTTCCTCCGCAACTGCTATGCTTGAACGATGTTACAGCGGAGCTGAGCTTGATTCTCTTGCTTATCTGACCTAATCTCCATTGACGAATAACACTAAAACTAAGAATATACATGATTATTGTTCTGCATCCCTAGTGTATTAGCTGGAACCCTGCTAGGTCTAATAATTGACAGTTTATATATTTTGTTGTTCGTTTAGTTTATTTTTTTTTTTTTTTTTTTTGTGGATTCAAAAGCTGAAGAAGGGCTAAACAGACGCAGTAAGGTTGCTCCTTATCATGTTCTCATCAAAGTTATTGTTGAGCCTACTAGTCTCATGTAAAAACGGGATGAATAACCAAAAATTAACTGGGATATTGCTGCTCCTGCTCATGTAGTTGCCGAAGTCATTGTCTGTCAACTACTTCCAAGAAGCTTGTGAACCTTTCTATTTGGTCCAAAAATCTTTTCGGAAAAAATCAAATTTGATATGGACAGGATTATTCTAGTAGTGCATTGCAATGCCTTACAAGTTTCTGCAATTGTCATAATATTATTTTAGTTGTCCAGAACCGGGATATTTAGGTGGATCAGATCAATATTTTCTTAACCTTTACCTTATAATATATTTTTTGTATGCCCAAGGAAAGTCACAGAAACTAGTCCAAGAGGGTAGGTTTCATCTTCGATTGGGTTTGATGCTATGCTTTATTACATACTTGGATAGTTAAGTCTCGTTTTGGTGGTTTTAAAATTATATGGAAATGGCATGGGGTTAGATAAAGTCACGAACACTGTGCTCTAAAATCAGCCAGGTCGCCATAGAGGCAAAATTCTACAGGAAAGGTCATCAGAACTGAACGATAAGTAAAGCCTTATTTTATTTTTAAATCTGTTATTGTATGGGTTGTAACACTAGGAGAGGATTGTATATTGCTAGTCCTACTATGACATGTTGTGTATAAAATGTTCCATTGACTTTGTTTATGATGCCCTGGGATCATGGCTATACTGCTTCTCAGAATTTAATGGTCTCAATAAGCTTCGGTTTGGAGTAATCTCCTTGTGAATTATGTCTACCATGTGTTGTACGAGGTGAGGTAGAATATGCACTGTAATCCTTTGCGTGCAATTTTAGTTTAAAATTTCATGGTCTTTTCATTAAGATCTTTGTGGATTAGGTTGATTTCCATTTCTACAGAGCTGACCAAAAAGGAACTTTTCTTACAGTTCACAATATAGCAGCACAACGAAGACGGAAGCATGCTATTACGTTGGGGAAAGAAAGAAGAGAAGTGCTGATACGCACAAAACGCATGTGTATAGAAGGGCTTGCTAATTATAATGAAGAATCTTTGGAGGCTAATATGTTGATTGATGAAGAGAAAGCAGCATTAGATACCCAGACTTCTAAAATTGTAGAAGACCTAAAATCTGCTCTAGGGCTTCAGTAAGTGCTCTATGATCGCTGATAAAAAAAAAGTGCTCGATGATCAACTTGGACTTATTATTGATGACATGCCAATAGTGTCATCACTTTTAGCTTTGTAGAATAATATCACTTTCTCTTCTTCATATTTAACATTGTTTGCTACGTTTATCTTTTGACAATTTCTCAAGTTCAACATCATTTGTTTTTAACATGGTGAGTGTTATCAGACTGCAGCAATACTTTACTTTCATAACGTTTTTAGAAAACTAATTGTTGTTACTCTTCTGGTATTCATGCAATTTTTTGTGCTCCTTGCATTCCTTAATTTTAGTTGTAAATTTTCTTTGTCAAACTTTAGAGGAAAAGTTCCTACAGAGAAAAAGGTTGATATGCTTCGTGCCTTGAGACATCTTCTTTCGAAGACTGAATTTCCTCCAATTGATGCAGCTATCAGAGCTGATGTTATTCCTGCCCTTGTTCAGTGTTTGTCTTTTGGATCTGAAGATGATCAGGTTCAATGATTTTAATCATTCCCTTGAAATATTTTAGAAATTGCATATGAATGTGGTAAAGTTATTTTATTGGTTCATTTGTTGCTGTTTCCATTAGTAATCCTATCAATAATTTTTTTGCTAATTGTATATTTTGTGCAAGCATGCTGCTTTATTACACATATAAAAGTCATTGTTTTTGTAGTATGCCTTAAGCATTAATAATCTCCTTCTATGCTTTCTTTTCTTTCGAATTACTGAAGGATTTTGCTTTTTCTCTTTGATTGTAAAGTTGCTTGAGGCAGCTTGGTGCCTTACCAACATTGCAGCTGGTGAGTCAGAAGAAACTAAATCATTACTACCATCACTGCCGTTACTAATTGCTCATCTTGGAGGTTGGATGCCTTCCCTAATTTTACCTCTTTTATTTTTTGCTTTATTTTTTTATTGTCATTCAAGCATTTCATCTCCAAAAACATTATTTAGTTGAAAAATTAGCTCTTTGAATTGACTCTCTACTTTGTTTCATCTGTTTGGTCTTTCATAAGTGATAGAAGACATAAAGCCATTATGGCTGTAACCTAGAATCCATGTGAAAATGCAATAAAGGAATGAAGTCAAAATTAATATTGTAAGTTGTTAAAAAATGAACAACTCATCTACATTAAGAACAACTAAAAAGCTTAATTTAAATAGAAATATATGTCAATGTGTCAAACAATTGACCCCAAATAGTTGCAGTGAGGAGCTAGCTGCTAATGTTGCAGCTTTTATTGATGACATTGTAAGTGGGCTTGAAAATGACACTGGTTGAAGGTGTTAGTTGAGTGATTTGGAGTTAGTGACACCTATAATAACTTTTTTCCTTTGATGATAGAGTGGGTCAAATTGTGTGCAGTTCTAAGTATCACTGGAACGAAAATGGCACTTGTCTTGAATAAGATTATGGAGTTTCTATAGTCATTTGCAAAAAGCATTGGGATATCTAATTTGTATTTCAATCATTGTCCTCTTTTCTTCATTTTTCTTGTTTGGTGGTTCGTACCTATTATCATTTAAGCTTTTGAACATTCTTATTGTCATTCTCTGGTCAAATCAAACCAGTGAAATGCAAGTCTATGAGACGCATGCCTAAATAGCCTTTGTTATCAAGGTATTATTAACATGTTTAATATCCTCATCCAGCATTCTGCCAAGGAATTAATGAAATAGTTTAACGTGCAGTTTACGAATTGACTAAATCCTGATATGATTTTATTTAAATTAGTTAGCATCATTGAATTTGGGAGAAACAACCATCAAATAAAACAGTACACTTCTAATGTATCGCTCCTCTAGTGCTAAATCTCAGTGTTTTGCTAGTTGCTTGGATTAGTTCAGTACTTAATTTATTTATTTAATTTGTTTCCCTATTTTAGAGAAGAGTTCTTTGCCTGTTGCTGAGCAATGTGCATGGGCATTGGGGAATGTTGCTGGTGAAGGAGAGGAACTGCGAAACATTTTACTTGCACAAGGAGCTTTAATACCACTTGCTCGTTTAATGGTCTCTGATAAAGGATCAATGGCACAAACAGCTGCTTGGGCATTGTCAAATCTTATTAAGGTTAACATCTCTTTCACTTTTGGTGTTTTTTTTTAATTATTTTTTTATTTTTCAATAAACCTATGCGCTAATAGGAATTTTTATTTTATGGGGCTCTCTAACTTGATTCTGTCATCAATTAACTCTGTTATTGATTTTTCTAGTTTTCTTATAAACTTAAACTCTCTGAGAAATACTATCAGACTATCAGTATAACTATACAGAACAGTTCTTTGGAAACAACCATGCGTCCATCTCTTTTGATTCATTTTAACTCTTATCAACCTTGTTCTCAAATGTTCAAGGTTATGATGTTGGAAATTATTTTTTATGTTAGCTGAAAAAAGAGGCAAGGAATTTGTTTGCATCATGATAGGAAGTGCTTGTAGAGATTTTGGAAAAGTCTTGGCTGAAATCTGATTTCAGCAATGTCTGAAAACCAACGACAAGAAAACTAGGAATAGAATACACAAGAATATTTTTTTTTATTGAAAGTTTTATGAAAGAAAAGACTAGATACAAGTGGATCTTCAATTGGAGAGGAAGATCCAGCTCTCCCAAATCTCTAGCCACCCGCTAGGGCCCAAACACACTAAGAACAATTTAAATTCAACAAAAGGCACATATCCCTAACCCTAGAAAAATCACTTATTTAAAGCAAATAATAAACAAGAAATACTCAAACAACCCTCCCCCAATTCCCTCCCAAATCTGTCATATTTCCTTAATTATTTTCCTCCCAAACCATCCCCCAAAGCAGCCATTTTCAATTAGGAAATATTTTCTAATTAATCTGCCCCCAAATTTGCCCTCTTCAATTAGGAAATATTTCTTAATTAATTAGCCCCCAAATCAACCCCCCATTCCCTAAATAATTCCCTCTCATATTTGAATTCAAATAAGATCTCTTGCCCTAAATAATTCCCTCCAAATTATAATTAAAACTTTCCTAAAACTCTCATATTTGTATCATGTCTGCTGATTTTATCTTTTCCACATCTTTTTCTCCTTCAAAACTCTGCAGCTCCACAAAAAATCCCACTTCTTTACCCTTTTTTCTTCTTAGAAGTGGCTTCAAAGGTAGCATCTCCTCTTCTTCCCCCCAAATTTTCACCTTCAGATTTTATGTTATCCTAACAGGTGGCTCTTGATGAAAGGAGCTCTCTTCATCAAACACTTCTTGTTTGATCTTTTTTACCTTCATATTCGGCCATGGGAATCCCGATCAAGTCTTGATTAGGGTTAGCATTTAGAATCGTCGGTGGGGTTTTGTATCGCATCTCCTTCAGAATTTCTTTCCCTTTGGTTTAGCCCGAGGAATCGTCGGTGAAGCCTTCGACTTCATCTTGATCATCTTCTTCATCATATCCTCCAATTTCTCAAAGCGGTTCTTAATAGATGAGAGCCTTCCTTCCATGCCCAATTATTTTTTCTCCTTGCCAGCTGTGAGTTGTTCCATCTCACATTTCAACGCATCCATCTTCATTGCTGCCATTCACAGATCTAGGTTCCAAACCGCCAAAAACAACAAAAAATCAGCGAATCTACTCTTCAAACAACGAATATTAGCAATACGGGAAATAAAACGAAGCAGATATCAATGATGAGGACTTAAATTTCAGCCTAGGACATAGCTCTGATACCAATTAATAGGAAATGCTTGCAGAAATTTCGGAAAAGCCTTGGTTGAAATCTGATTTCAGTAATGTTAGAAAACCAATGACAAGAAAACCTGGAGTAGAACACACAAGAACACTTTTTATTGAAAGTTTTATAAAAGAAAAGACAAGATACAAGTGGATCTTCAATTGGAGAGGAAGATCCGACTCTCCCAAATCTCTAGCTGCTGGCTGGAGCCCAAATACCCTAGGAACATTATAATTTTTGCAAACAACACATACCCATAACCCTAGAAAAATCACTTAATATAAACAATAAACAACAAAGACCCAAACAACCCTCCCGCAATTTTCTCCCAAATCAGCCCTATTTCCTTAATTATTTTCCTCCCAAATCAGCCCCCAAATATGCACTCTTCAATTAGGAAATATTTCCTAATTAATCAGCCCACATTCCCAAAATAATTCCCTCTCATATTTGAATTTAAATAAGATCTCTTGCTTTAAATAATTCCCTCCCAATTATAATGAAAACATTCCTAAACAATTCCCTCTCGATTCCTCCTCCCTTTCCCTAAATAATTCGCTCTTAGAATTTTGAATCCAAATAATATCTCTCGCCCTAAATAATTCACTCTTTATTGTAATTATAACTTTCCTAAATAATTCTTCTTTGATTAAGAACCTTCCTAAACAATTCCCTCTTGATTAGGAAACTTTATAATTCCTTCCCAATCAAATGGGCTTGTCCATCAATACTCCCCCCCAAAGTGCCACATTCTCTTCTAGGTGGAACCAAGGAAACTGCTGCTGAAGCATTGAACTGAAAAATAGACTGTCACTGGGTCGAATGATCCCCGCCTCCAGCATCTTCTTGATCAATCTCTCGATCTCATCCTTTTGGGGTTAGGGAGAATGGTATGGACGAACATTGATATGTGAGACTCCTTCCTTCAAAATGATAACATGCTCGTGTTCCCACGTAGGAGGCAACCCCTGAATTGGCTAGAACACCCATTGATATTGTTGTGGGAGGTTGAATCATGTCTGATGCTTATATCTCCTCCCCATATTTTTCTCCTCCAAAACTCTGCAGCTCCACCAAAAATCCCACTTGTTCATTTCTCCTCCTTAGAAGTGGTTCCAAAGGTGGCATCTCCTCTTCTTCCCGCCAAATTTTCACCTTCTGATTTTCGGTTGTCCTAACAAGCGGCTCTTGATGAAAGGAGCTTTCTTTGTCGAACACTTCATGCCCGATCTTTTTTCCTTTATATTCAGACAAGGGAATCCCGATTTAGTCTTGATTAGGGTTAGCAATTGAAATCGTCGATGGGGTTTTAGATCGCATCTCCATGAGCTTTCTCATCATTTCCTTTAGAATTTTTTTTCCCTTTGGTTTAGCCCAAGGAATCGTCGATGAAGCATTTGATTGCATCTTGATCATCTTCTTCATCATATCCTCAAATTTCTAAAAGCTGTTCTCAATAGATGAGAGCCTTCCTTCCATGCCCAAATATTTTTCTTCCTTTACAGCTCTGAGTTATTCCATCTCGCCTTCCAACACATCCATCTTCATTGCTGTCATTCATGGATCTAGGATCCAAACCGTGAAAAACAACAAAAAATCAGCGAATCTTCTCTTCAAACAACGAAAATTAGTAATACAGGAAGAAAAACAAAGCAGAAATCAGCGATGAGGATTTAAATTTCAACCGAGGACACGACTTTGATACCAATTTGATAGGAAATGCTTGAAGGAATTTCGGAAAAGCCTTAGCTAAAATATGATTTCAGCAATGTTAGAAAACCAATGACAAGAAAATCAAGAATAAAAAACACAAGAAGACTTTTTATTGAAAGTTTTATGAAAGAAAATACAAGATATAAGTGGGTCTTTTATTGGAGAGGAAGATCCAACTCTCCCACATCTCCAGCCATCGGTTAGAGCTCAAAAACCCTAAAACAATCTAAATTTAGCAAACGACGCATACCTCTAACCCTAGAAATATCACTTAAAGTAAACAATAAACAACAAATACTCAAACATACCTCTTGCAATTTCCGTCCAAATATGCCATATTTTCTTAATTATTTTCCTCCCAAATCAGTCCCCGAATCTGCACTCTTCAATTAGGAAATATTTCCTAATTAATCAGCCCACATCCCCTAAATAATTCCCTCTCATATTTAAATTCAAATAAGATCTCTTGCCCAGTTATAATTAAAACTTTCCTAAACAGTTCCCTCTTGATTCCTCTTCCATTTTTTTTCCCTAAATAATTCGTTCTTAGATTTTTGAATTCAAATAATATCTCTTGCGCTAAATAATTTTCTCTTAATTGTAATTATAACTTTCCTAAATAATTCCTCTTTGATTAAGAACCTTCCTAAATAGCTCTCCTTAATTAGGAAACTTTCTAATTCCTTTCCAATCAAATCAGCCAGTCCATCACATCATTGTTTTGATAAGAACTCTGAACTACTATATGCAAGCTAATTTATATTTTGTTTTCTTTACTTAGCAAAGACGTTTTTGAACGGAGTAGCCAATTGCCTTTATTTTGGCTGTACATTATGTTTACATGAAGCAGTGGTGCAAACCCAAGCCATATTAGCTGGTTTAGAGTGTTGATTGAAACCAATTCATTTGGTTGGTTGATTTGGTTTTTGGATTACTCGATTGAGGTTTTGGTCAAACATTGGTTATTTTGGGTTGGAAGTTATAAGTCATGGTGAAAGCTCTGTTTTGAAGTGTAAACCTAACCTTCCAATCGCACTGAAGCTACTACCATTCATTCATGCCTATGGTTGGATTAAAAGACATTAATTTTTTTTAACCAAATAGGAGCAGCCAAATGTACATGTCTCGAAAGCAAGATTTTAGTTGACTTTTCAACTTCTAAATCAATTTCACACAAAGCTTTAAGTATTTATTTAACCCCCCCCCCCCCTTAGATCAATAAAAACTTACCCCCCAAAAAAAAAAAAAAAAAAAAAAAATTTATTTACCCACTTTTGTTTCTTAGATCAATAAAAACTTATTTACTTACATCAAACTCATTTTGAAGTGCTTTAGCAAATTGGCCATAAGTAACATTTATTTATTGATATAAGCATAAGGATGGTAGGAAAATGCCATTTGTTCTGGTCATTGGAACAAAATGACGCTTATCCAGATCTGGTGGCAACATTTAGCTTTTGAACTACGGTGTGAACTGGGACGAATTATTTTTTCAGCAATAATTATTATATATAATGAGCATTTTTGTTTCCATTATGATTCAGCAATAATTCTTGTTGTTGTTGTATGATTCTCTTATTCTTGGAGAACGAAGGTGCAATGATTAGGTTGCTACCATTATGATCTGGATTCCAGTCTGAGGCAACCTCTCTGCTAGGTAGGAATAACTTTGTATATCATCCCTCTTGAAATCTCAGTTGGTAGGAGCTATATTCATTGCGTATGTTCTTTTTTATTCTCTTATTCTTGAGTAAAGCAAATATCTTGTCTCAGTAGTCCCGAAGTGGATCCAACTTATTATTATTATTATTTTTTTCAATTAAAAGAAAGGTGGACTAGAGAAAATTTATTATTAGAAGTGCCATGTAAAAATTTTCACCTTCTTAAGTTCAATTATGAAACTTTCTTTCACAGCTTGAGATTTATCATTTTGTTTTCTTTTCAGGTGTTCTAAAAGACGTTTTGGCTATCTTAATACTTCTGAACAATGTTTAAAATTACGTATTCGGGTATTGAGGTGTTTTTTATTCGTGAGGCGAGGCGCAAGCCTCAAGGCGTTTTGAGGCGTAAGCCTCAAAATCAAAAGATTGCGTAAACATAAAATGATAAATTTTTTATATACTAATGAGTGAATAATATAAAACATAAAAAATCATAAGATATGAATTGAAATCAAAATATCCCAATAATAAGACAACATGAAATATAGTTAAACTCAAAATTCTATCTTTCCCAAATCCCAATATTCTTTTCATTAAAATATATTTTCAATTTCCAAAAATAAATAACAATGACATATCACATAAGAACTCATAAGTCATCAGCACTGTCATCACTAAGGGGTTCTTCATTTGAATCATCGTTATGATGTACTGCTCTCTACCCTTCCTCCTCTCCTATAGAGTCCAATGTCGGGCATTTACTTCAAGATTTATGTAAGTTTTAATATATATAGCATGAGGCGTAAACCTCATGCCAGTGAGGCGAGGCGGACCTCAGCCAAGTTGAGGTGCAAGCCTCATAAAAAAAACTCGAGGCGTAAGCATCGAGGCGTTTTTTACTGGAATTGCGCAAAGGCGGGCCTCATATTGCGCAATTTTAAACCATGCTTCTGAATGCTCTTTACATTTATTTACAGGGACCTGATTCAAGGGCTGCAACTGATTTGATTAAAGTTGTTGGCACGCTAGATGCAATAAAACGACATTTACAGATGGGGTTGGTATAAACTTCACCAATTTGATAATTATTATTTCTTGTTTGCATCATTTGTCATTTTCTTTATTATTCTATTATACAATTTTATTGGGAAATTGTAAGTAAAAGGATATGTTATTTCTTTTTTTTTTACCATAAAGATTGTCAAGGTCCAATTCATAAATAAATTCTTCTATAGAACATGTGGCAAATGTTGGTTTTTGGTGGTGGAAAATCATGCATGTAATCCAATCTAGGATTAGGAAATTGATTTAATTTAGTGATTTTATTAATTTCTCTCTTGTCTACGCATCCATTAACTTTTATCTTTCATAAACTAATGTTGGAATTGTACATGGACTTAAATCTTCTCTAATAAATTCATTTTTCAATAAACTATTTAATTGTTTTTCAAGTTCAGCTTGTTTAGGTATTATTCATCATTTCATTTGAAAAGTTAATGATCTTCAAAAATTCAAAATTTAAAATGATCATTGCAATGTCGTTTTATGTCTCCAATAATATTAGACTTTATGATTCACATAAGTCTATGAATAATTAACGAACCATCGAATTCTGAATTAAATACATACATATATCTTTTTTTGGGAATTAAGGATCCCGGGGAACAAACTTTCTCAAGGAGCGCAGCACATTCCTGCTGGATGGTATAATATATCCAATATTGATTATTGAAAATCAGTTATTCTCTTGGATGCAACAAAACGAATTTCAGAATTGCTTATTTTGAACTTGAATTAACACAAAATACATGAATCATTCACTTTTGTCAAAACTCGAATAAAGGATTCAGTGCAATTTACTTGCGTTTCTGATGGTTGTAAACTTTGACCTCTTCATTAGAGTAATGCACAAGGCTAACCCCAAATAGAAAGGACAGGTAATGACGATGATTTCAATGAACAAACAACATTTATTTCATGAAACTTTATCTTTCTCTGGAATTCACATCTGAAAATTGCTAAATATTTCGCCTGTGGACATTTCTTTCCTGGTTTTGTTTCTTCACGAACATGATTAATACTTCATGATAGTTGAACTTTGTCTATTGCATTAATGTATTGACCATTTCCATACTAATAATGTTTCAAGGATTCTTATGCCCTCATGCTCTTGCTTGTTTTCTTATCTGTAGTGCTTTGAGAACATTTTAAATGATACTTAAATGACTGATTTGTCAAACATGTTTAGGGATAATGAATTAGCAACAGAAGTAGCATGGGTTGTCGTTTATCTGGCAGCACTTTCAGAATATGCCCTTCATGTGCTAGCAAAAAGTGAAGTGGTTCCACTTTTAATTGGAAGGTTAGCAGCGTCAGACAATTTGCAACTGCTCATTCCGGTACTTGTTTGACATCAATGTGTGCGGTAGTTTTATAGCTAAATTTATCAATAAGCAAGTTCATTCTCTCGCCCATAAAACTGTGAAATGCCATTTATTATTGAAGTTGAAATCCATTGACATGTCTTGATATTTCTTTTATGTAATTTGGTTGTAAACTATCTACCCAAAATTTTCAGTTCTGTATACGTTAAAAGAATTGGAAAAAGGGATCACTGGATGCTTTACTTGTAAAAGATGCCTGTTGTTTGTAGGTACTTCGCAGCCTGGGTAATCTTATAGCTGGTGCGGATTACGTGATTAGTGCTGTTCTCATCGTTGGGCAGGACATCACAGGTATGCTCATCATGCAGCTCATCTGAACGGGTGATCTTTGGTTCATTTGAATGTAAACTAACACTTTGTGACCTTCAGATCGAGCTATATCAGCTTTAGTCAAGTGCTTGAAGAGTGAAAACCGTGCATTGAAAAAGGTTCTTCTTTCATATGAATACTTCTTCTGGTTTTTTTTTTTTCTGTTTCCTTACGGAATTTTTTTGGCTAAATGGTTTAGGAGGCCGCCTGGGTGCTCTCTAACATATCAGCAGGATCATTGCAGCACAAGGAGTTGGTGTTTTCGAGTGAGGCTGCTTCCTTTTTGCTAGATCTTCTTTCATCTGCACCATTTGACATCAGGAAGGAAGCGGCATTTGTCTTAGGCAACCTTTGTGTTAGCCCTGGAGATGGTGTTCGGCAGCCAGATATTATTGTCAACCATTTAGTTTCACTTGTCAACAAAGGTTGCCTTCCAGGGTTTTTAAACCTGGTTAGATCTCCTGATGTTGAGGCTGCAAGGTTGGGTCTTCAATTCCTGGAACTGGTGAGGAATATTTGCCTTTGCACTTTCTGACTCTTGTATCCTTTATGCAGTACTGTTTCTACTGCTGGTTTACTTTACCTTTCTTCTGCTATATATTGATCTCATCTCTCATTCTTTATTGTATAGAAGTTCAGGTTAGGTTAAGGCTGATAATGAGCTGAATATGACTTGGCTTAGTTTTACTCAAAACTGATTTAATTAACAATCAAATTTTCTCCACACAAAATCACTCAATTCCGAGCCTTCTTGAATTCAATTATGAGTTACTTGACATGGAAGTTAACATTTTGGGAGGGAGGATAGAATCCGTCCTTTTCTAAGGGCTACAAACCACTTACCAATCTATCAACTTGTCTTTTAGTTATACTATGCATCTACCTTAAATAATTGTAATAATTTTGAGCTGGTTTTGCCCAACAATCATTGGCTAGCACCGTAGTTTGAAAGTTGACTAAAACAAGTCTGTCAGTTTTTACCTATCTTGCACCGATACACCTATTTATGAAGGCGTGCTGTATCCGATACACCGATACACGGATACGCCTCCGATACTCCAGCGATACGTGTGGATACGCCAAAGCCGTATCCAATTAAAATACTATTTAATTTTAAAAGGACACGTATCCGATACGCGTGTCCGTTGAAAAACAAAAAGAAATCCAAAGATTCTCTCATTTATGAGATGGATTTGAGTCTCTTGATGATATGAAAATATTAAAAATTACTAATCTTTCACTTGATGAACCTGAAGTAGAAGCTATGATATTTATTGAAGATGATACAGAAGTTCAAAGACTAACCAATGAAGAAGATAATTATATAATTCATTCTATTGAATAGTTGAAACTTCATGTACTAGATAATTTATGTTTATGCTTTTTGTTGTTGTACTAGATATTTAATGCTTACTTATATTTTGATATTATAAGCTACAAGGCTACAAATGATGTTGTTGGCATTTTTTTTGTTAAAATATTATGCTTTGATTGATTTCATGATTTATAAATTATAATGCCGTGTCCGCTCCGTACACGTATCCTGTATTTTTAAGAATTGACGTATCCCGTATCCGTATCGTGTCGTATCCGTATCGGTGCAACATAGGTTTTTACTTGACTACAACATCCTGCAGTTTTTGAGTTGCAGGTATTTTCATCACCCCTATTTATGCCTGCATGCAGTGGAAATAAGAAGGGATGATTGCATAATTTGGTCGGATTATGGTCTCCCTATTATATCAACATATGAATAAATATTGTGGGGGATCATATTACATTTTGTAACTCTCTAATAAACCTTAAGATTTGCCATCACTCCTTAAACTATTTGATTTCAGAAAACTTGCGAGAGAATCTATGACTATGATATTCTTATGAAGATTATGGCTAAGTGGCTAACACACTTGTAAAATGATGAAAACTTTAGGGAACTGCTATTTTTACCGTAGGATGATTTCAGTAGAATGGTTTGCTAGCTACTCGTTTAAGAGTGTTAGAGACGAGTTATGTTTCGTTTGGGACAGTTTTTTTATTGCTTCTTAGAGCAGTTTTTTTATAAAAAAAATAAAATTTTTATACTAAAAAGCTACTCTAAGAAGCAGTAAGAAAGCCGTCCCAAACAAAGCCTTAATTTTCGAGTCTTTCTGACCAAAAATGTTCCTATAAAGCAGTGGGGGGATAATAAGATCAGCAACATGAATTTTTAATTTGCTACATCTCTCACAGGAATAATTAACTTTTTTTTTTATCTATGCAATTGCTTGAAGGTCATGCGGGGAATGCCCAATGGAGAAGGTCCAAAGCTTGTTGAATTGGAGGATGGGATTGACGCCATGGAAAGGTTTCAATTTCATGAGAATGATGAGATGAGGATTATGGCTAACACACTTGTTGACAAGTACTTTGGCGAGGATTATGGTCTTGATGAATGATATACTGCATGAGTGGTTTTCTTCTAATTCTGTTCATTTGTAAATCTTCTGGGAGATCATCCAGTCTTTTTTGCACAAAAACTTGTGTAGAAATTCTAATGATTATTCGTAAGTTTGGATCAAATCTGAGGCACCTGCTGTATGCTTTTAATTGATTAATCTAAAGTACTTGCTTGCATTAACTAACCTTGTTTTTGTTGAACCTAAGCTTGATGCTTGATAGTCTTCTATTGGCTTCCATTTGGAGTTGCTTTGCAGCGTCTATGTGATTTTTTTTGGCCAGTCATTTTGAAACTTTCATCTTTGCAGGTTTTAATTTAGATTTCGCTTCTTAGAATAACTTTTAAAATTTTTTACTAGAAAACAACTTTAAGAAATAGTAATAAAGCCATCCCAAACTAAGGCTTCATTTGGGACGGCTTTCTTACTGCTTTCTAAAATGACTTTCTAGTATAAAATATTCTAATTCTATAAATTTTTATACTAAAAAGTTGTTTTATAAAGCAACAAAAAAGCTGTCTCAAATAAAGTTTAACGCTTTGTTTGGTCCGCGTGGTTGGTCCGCCTCAACCTTACGCACAAATTCGAGCCACACCATGAGTAATGGAGTCAAACAACATCAGGATCGAATATGAGCTAGATAATCTAACGAGCTCAAAATTCTACTCAAGCTTGAACTCGATACTCGATAAGCTCGACTCGCAAGCTTGTTAACGAGTCGAATTCGAGCAAGCTCGAGACTCAGCTTGACTCATTTGCACCCCACCCTCCTCTATCAGAAAAATAAACAATTTTTTTTAAAAATAACAAGCTTTGTTTTGTAGCAAATTTAAATACACTATAATAAAAATAAAAACTATATGTGATGCTGACGGCCCAAATAAATTCAATTGAAATTATTAAAGTAAAAAAATATATATTTTCTCTGCTTAGCCTCACAACCAATCAATTTAACTAACATTATAAATAAAATAATAAGCAGATTCGATACATGTCATAAGGCAATGTTATTGCTGGAAGTGCATTCAATAAGCAGAGCAATAAAACGCTAATGTTAAATAATGTGAAGAAATCTAAAAACGTAACAAAGGCTTGCTGAGCTAACAGTCAATGCATCAGGTAGACCATCTCCAACCGTTCGGCAAACAACCGAATGAAGGCCCTCAAACATCGCAACCGAATGCCTTTTTCTCATGCATTTGTTTTATGATGAACAGTGCGACGTCAATATTGGCGTCGCACTGTTCACCCGCTAAATTTTTATGTCTCAACGGGATTTATCCGCAAAATGGAGAATGACGGTTACGACGAGGGAAGCCTGCAAATTGGAGTTTGATTGGAGCAGAATTACCCTATTTTGAAGTTCTGCTGCCGGTAGAAGAACAGTTTCGGCAAAATTCTGCTAATGATTTCACAGTGATAACATTAGCCGATTCAGGCAGCTTTCCCGTGGATACAAATATAGGAAAAAAACTCAAGAACAAGTCTTCTTCATCGCAGCGGAAGGGGAAAATACTGTTGCTTTCTCACCGCTCACTAACATAATAGAATGAATCCTTCGGCATTAAGTTTTTAAGATCAGCTCAATTCTCTAAGCACATGAAGAAGGTCAGAAACATCAAACATTCAGAAAATAACTATTCTAATATGTATAGCTATTACACTGAAGAAAAAACCTCGGCTTAAGAATTTGGCTTTGCCCCACAAGAATTATTATACTTATTTATGAGAATCTATCTCTACAAACAATAACATTCAAGAGAGTGCATGCATGCCTACTATGATAAGGTCATTTCCTGCGTGTTCAGTTTACAGAATGAAAAATGATATGAACTCGATCCATACTGATGTACGAAAATATACTTGAATCGAAGTAAAACTTAGAGTAGTTTTAAGCTTCCATCAGCCAGTCATCAACGCATTGCAGCCATTGTTCATCAAAACTCAAAGTTGGATCAAATATGGAGGCCAATGTATCCATCTTCAAGTTTGGATCAGTAGAGTCATCGCCATAGAAAGTTGGAGGATTGAGCAGTATACGTTCATCTGACTCTTGTTGCTTACCCTGCAACAATCGTTCTTTAAAATTCTCTAATTTCCCAAACTTCCTCTCGCTATAATCCAATAATGCTCTCTGAAATTGTAGAAGCTCTTCATAACTCATGGCCTCCACTTGAGGTATATCCCACCAAAAAGGCGCCTCTTTTCCGTTCGTGACATCAACAAATTCTGACTTCGTTGTTGAATCTGATTCATTCTCCTTTAGACAGCCAAGGAGGGAGTCTAGGGTTGGAGCTTCCATGGTGTAGAGCTTATCGGCAGGGGAGAACACAATGGCTCCGATTTTAGCACCGCTCAAAGTTGATAGTTCCCTGGCCTTCTTGAATAGACCGGTGCGGCGCTTGCTGAAGCAAACTAATCTCGATTCCTTCTTCTCTACCAACTTTAGCTCAGTCTTTTGTCGCCCTCGCCCAACCATCAGATTATTTATGATTAAAAGAAAGCAAAGAGAGAATAAGGACTGAGAAGAAAGAAAATAGGCTTTGTCGCTCTCAAAGAAAAGATCCCGTGAGAACTGAGGTGAATGCCTTACCTTCGACCCTATCGTCTCTTTTATGGTTGAAAATTTTCAACGGTCAATAGATGGAAAACATAGAATCCAATTTTCAAATTTTCAAATTTTTTATAATCCACGCATGCTCAATTTTGAATTTTGAAATTTTAAATTTGAATTTATTTAGCCTAATATTTCCAGTTATTTTTCTTCTCTAATTAAATATGAAAAAGTAATTAAACAAATTTTATTTATTTGAATATTTGTAGTCTTGTGTATTAAGAAATAAGTTTTTAAAATGATTTGATACTATTTAAAAACAACTTGTTAATATTTGAAATTACATAGTTAGAAAAAAAAAATGGCCAATCATAATTTATGCAAAATTAAAATCCTTTTAAAAGTCTATTTAATTATGAAAGTTTAATTATAAAATAATTATGGGAAGTAATTTGTGTGAAGTTTAATTATAAAATATTTATAGTAGTAGTATATATATTCATAAAAAAAATTTAAATATGATTTGATTTATTATTATTATATAATGATTTAAATTAAAACATATTTTTTTATATAATAAATGAGTCAACTCAAATTTTAATTTGATTTTGAAGTTAATTAGTTAAGCTGAAGCTCGTTTACTCCAAATTTTAATTAGATGTTGAAGACCACTTGAAGTTAATTAATTAAAAAATTAATGAAGCTTAAACTCGTTTACTCCCAATTTGCCATTTGTATAATAAAATGACATACTATGGGTTAACCTGCTGTGCAAGCCCAGATCTCCAAACAGCGAAAATCTTCCTTCTTGAAGATCCCCTCCGCTCCCCTAGATTTTCTTCTCCAATATTCGGAACCTTTTGCAAACCCTAGTTCTCGGACGAACATTAGATGATCCACGATTCCTGAAACCCTACCCCTTCTGCTGTCGTGTCAACATCAATGGCAAAAGAATTCAACGTGCCCCCGGTGGTCTTCCCATCCGGTGCGAGCGCCAACCTCCCCAATCAGCGCCGGGCGCCGGCGTCGGCACCAACTTTCCAGCCTTCGCGGCCGACAGCGGGCCTCGGTCCGAATCCTAACCTTCCTTTCATGTCATTTGAAATCGGTTCTGCTCAACCCTCTTCCTCATTCTCCGCTGCTCCTGTTTTTGCCGCCAGTACTATCTCGTCCGGCAGCTTCGAAGACGAGCCTCCTCTCCTTGAGGAGCTCGGAATCAACACCCGCCAGATCTGGAGGAAGACGGTATCGATCCTAAACCCCATTCGCGTGAATTCCAACCTCCACGAGGATGCCGACCTCTCTGGCCCCTTTATTTTTCTAATGGCTTTTGGTCTCTTTCAACTGCTTGCGGGGAAGTTTTACTTTGGGATCATCTTGGGATGGGTTACTGTCGCTGCACTATTTGTTTACGTGGTGTTTAATATGCTGGCCGGGAGGAGTGGAAACTTGGATCTCTACCGGTGTTTGAGCCTCGTGGGATACTGTATGCTTCCAATGGTCATCTTCTCGGCGATTTCTCTATTCGTGCCTCATGGTGGAGTCGTGATATTTACCATGGGGTCTGTTTTTGTTCTGTGGTCCACGAGGGTATGCACGCAGCTTCTGGTGGAGCTGGCTTCAGGTGGTGAGGAACACCGTGGACTAATAGCCTATGCTTGCTGGCTTGTCTACATGCTCTTCTCGCTGCTTGTCATATTTTGATATCTGTTGAGGTATTATTCACTTTTTCTGTACTACATGTTAACACTGTAGGCATTTCTTTTCAAGATTCAATTAAGCATCCCTTGTTTATTTTCATTTATGATAAACAAATAGTGGCTCATATTATCTGATTTTTCTTGTCTTTGTTATTGAAATGACTTTAAATTGATTGATGTTTTATCTGTATGGATTCTGAAAAGTTCACCCCTGTAAATTCACTGCTGAAAAGTTTATAATTTTAATTTACAATATAAGAGGACTCTTTACTCTTTACTGTTTTTTGTGGATGTCCTCATCTTCATCTATTTAGTAAGGATTTGTTTGGTAATACTTTTAGGTGTTTTGCTTTCTAAATTTTGGACAGTGCAATTTTAATTGATAAGAGAAATTTATGAAGGAAGTTTCCAAATTACATGTGCTCCTCCATGGCTTCATGATTATGAATGTACTTTTAGACTAACTCACCCATCTGTGTGAGAGTAGTGATTATTTATCACGTTATTCCCTACAACATAGCAAAATAGTGGCAGAACATTAGCAAATGAAGCCTAAGTTCATTAGTTTAATCTATCATTTTTGTTTTGGTTAGATTTAATAGCTATTCAATACCCATGCGATGCGAGGGGTGACAAAATAATAAAAATGAAATCAAATGATTAGTTGTACGGTAAACATACCACCCTGAGTTAAAAGTAATTAATGATCGAACAAATAAATTTAAGTTAAAAGGTAAATAAACTGATGTTTTAATATCATCTATTATATGAAATTAGTTTATCAGGAAATAGTTGTATATTGTGTGATTGAATATAAATTTGAGTTAATTAATTAAATTTGAATTAAAATTTAATACGTTGTAATTGTTAACTGGTAAATAAAATGGTTGTAGTTTTTAATTTAAATTCAAAATTCAAAGTAGGGACTTGCTCGATGTGTGGGTTATGTATTGCATATAGTTGCTTTAATTTTCAAAATCAAACTTTTATAACAAAAGGTACGAAGTGTCATCTCTTAGAATCATGTATGCAAAGGTAAGGAGATTGAATTGTTGCGAAAATTCGGAAATAGTTTTTGAATGAAAATAACACTTAAAAATGCAAAATTAAAGGATTTTAGTGAACTTAATGAATTTTTGGGGCGGATAGCGAAAAATGATTGACAAAGGGAATAGGGACATTAATGGATACATGTCAATGGTACAAAATGGCGGGCGCCATGACGCACGACGCGGCACGATGCACAGACAATGCTATTTGCTTGGTGCATCAAATAGCGCTTGCTAATTGCGCCATGCATGAGCAATGATGCATGGTACAAGGCGTAAATGACATGTGCTATTCTGTTGACATGGTATAAATTTTAAATTATAAATTATAATTAATTTTTTTAAGGTTTATATATTAATATCACAATTAACTATTAATTAATTAAACATCAAATTAATAAAATATAAAAAAAATTAAAAGATTTATTTTTTTTGTAGGAT